TAAACCTACTTAACATTTTAAATATAAAAACTATAAAAAAAAATAAAAACAAACATTTTCAAGTCCCTTAATAGACTCCTAAAACAAACAAGCTATCGAAATTTGAAAATAAAAATCTACTTACTCAAGATTCGGTTTTGAAATTTGGTCGTAATATTTGTGTAACTCGTGTCCTAGTAAAATTTCGCCCTATAAATTACACCACTCTATATATTAAATGTAATTTTTCAACGTACAATGAAATCTTCAAGAATGATCCCAATGAATCGATAATGATTTACCGGCTGCCGCTGACAGAAAACACGCTACAACACGCTACAACAAACTACAACTTCACTGTGTAACCAAAAAATGTACGACCGCTAGTAATATTCGATAAGAAAGCCCAGTGGTTCCCAAATATGTATACAACGTTGCTGATTCAACTCCTGTAATTGTACTTACCCTTTTTTTAATAAGTTGCCTACACAAATCCTACGAAATTAATTTTCTAGTCATTCTTGAAATTCTATTGCTCAAGTTAAATTTTGTACCCACGTTTACCTATTGAACAATATAATTAATATTGCTTGAGCAAGTACCTTTTATATATTAGAATCGATTGTCTTGATATAACCATTTTTAAATTTCGTTGTACCATAATATATTAAAATATCGCTTGAAAATTGAAATATCGGAAAAAACACCGAAGTAAGGGCCCTGACCAGTGATGTAGTTATGGGATTTTGGCAAGCGAAGAGATGTTGAATTTAGAAATTGTATCGCGTATATTCAGCGACCCTTAATTATGAATTTTATACACGGTGACCCGATATTTTATATTTTCGGCGGCTCTAAATAATTCGTTGGCTACCCCCAGTTTGGGAAACACTGCTGCGCAGATCCCTCGCTACGCTCCGAACGGGAAGTAAAAAAAAAAAAAAGATTTTTTTACGGCCCGCACACGGCATATCGTCGTACGAGTCACAATAGTCACGAAACGCTCAACATTATCACGTAGTGCGGACACTGTGTGCGCACGCGCATGCGCCGACCCGTGCAGTTGTGCGCTGCTACGGGACGGGGATTGTTATTATTTCTGGGCCTCCGCGGCCGTTCGCCGTATGCGGCGACCGGTTTCGTACGGACGGCTTCCAATAATAATATGATTATTATTATTATTATTATTTAAATACGAATCCGGAATCGTATAACGTTACGCGAACGCGTTTACCTACAGGTAGACACGTTAACGGCCGGACACCCGGCTTGTTGTGCGGTGCGACGACTGGGCAGTTTCTCGGCCGTCCTCGTCGCACAATAGTTGGTGGTATCGTCTCTGTCTAATCATCGGCGTGGCGATTAAACGGTCGTAAATATTGTTCGTACACGCCTGCAGCCGCTCGCCGCCCTTCCCCGTATACGCGTGCCCGCACGGTCCACCGTCCGCCGACGGCCAACAATGTGTTCTCAAAACGCGTGACTACGTGTTCTCGAAACACTTACGGTATTCGTATTCGATCAATATCGGGGACGCGACGTCAGTGGCGCGGCTCGCGCCAATTGGTGCAATCGCGCTCCCTGCGTAAATTTTAAAATAAAACAGAATTTGCATGTTTACGCTAATTCATCGTTTTAGGAAATTAGTAGGTAATCATTGTAGGGCTTGTGCGCGTATTATTTTCATTCGAAATAATTTTTAACAATAATTCAAAATTGTGTTGGGAAATGATAATGGCATTTGTCGTGTCTCACGTGTAATTCGGCAATTCGAATGCGATGAGAATAATCTAAAAACTGAGTACGGGCCGAGCGACCGGCGCCAGGTAATGTCGTTCGGTCGTCGGGTTTCAACCCTCTTCGCCCCCCTCGCGTACGGTCCGACGGTCCGTGGCGTACACGAGCAAAAACCCGTTTTCGAGGAATGCGTGTTGTACCACGATATTGGTGCCTGTTATAATAGAAACGGCAGCCGCCGCCGCCGTCGTACCCTGAACCTTGCCCAGCGTGTGAGAACAGTGGTTCTCATTGTATGCAACCGTAAACCGCCATCAGTGGTCCGTGTTCACGCACGTTCAGACTACGGGCGTCCAGAAACGGCGCGAGGAGCAAATATACAAGCGAGCTAATATGGGCAACTTCTCATCAATAAATACTGATATCATTCTTATCCACACACTTAATTACTATTATGTCAACTATTGACCTAACAGTAATAACTATATGTTATTAGGTCTGTATTCGTATCATAGCATAATCAATTATTACCGTGTATAACAAAAAGTCAAAACAAAATGGTAAAATATTTAAGTGAAATAAAATACCAAAGAGTAAATTAGGATATACTCATTGATATTTTCCATTTAAAGTATTTGCCATCAGTTACTTACTTTGGTTGCGTTCAATTTGTACAGAACAAATTGTATAACGTTTTTTATTTACACGAGCATGGCGGGTAAATTCTACGATAAAAAAAAAAAAAAAGTGTGAATCCGTTTACCTATCGCACCGCCATAGCAGGGCACTGGTTTTGTCGCGTTTTGCGTCGCTATCGTACATTACGCCGTCACCGCGTCTGATATTATTTTCATAAATACAACCATTTATTTTACGATTTCCAGTAAAATAATAAAATTTCTATTTCAGACATATCCTAGTAAAGAACCTAAAGATCCACTATCCGTTTTCAAAATTGAAATCCGTCAACCACAAGTCCTACAGTTTTGTTTGGCTTTTAGGTCTAAATCGACTAAAATGTACACAGTCACCTTAACCATTTCACAATTTTTTTTTACGATTTTTTATTACACACGATGATAAATTATGCAATGGTAGTTATAATATCACTACTTTCTGATAGGAAATGGCTTATATTAGCATCTGATAATTTGCTCCCTGTGCTGTCATTAGACGCTCGTTTTCAGTCTCTCCTGAATATTTCATTTTTTTTGAGATAAGAGATATTAGTCGACTAACTATATAGTCAACTATATAGGCCATCGACAGGCGTACATTTTTGAATTCCGCTACAGCAAATAGTCTGCTTAGAACGGGGCGATTAGCCGCCAGTTTTCGTGACGCGGACTCGTCGCATATTTTCGGCCCGCTATTGCGTTCACAGAGAATAAACCCGATTAAAACAATTGTATACCTACCTGTTTACATTTCAGTATTTCAATAATATAACGTGGGTTGTCAACATTTTTCTCTAATTCCATAGTTTTGTCTGGTTGAAAAAATAGTTTTTTTTTTTTTTTTTTTTCCATTTTAGGACGAATAATAATTTTTTTTTTAATTTACCTGGTTTAAAAAGATCAGTTTTAGCGCGAATTCAAATTAGTCTTACCAAACATCGGGGAATACTATGGTACCAATCTGACATGGACGTATTAATAACGTTATTAATCTGATATACGTGATAAGGCGTGATTTTTGTTACAGTGATAATCCACTAAACCCGAAACCGGGTAAGACACATTTGATTCCCGTTAATACCGATCGTTTTGAATACTTTTCAATTAATTGGTTTTTTAAACCCAATTTGTGAAGAATTAAATAGCCAGAATAAAAAATAAATTTCATTCCTAAGCTTACCGTGCTCATTACAATAGGATTCGTAGATTAAATCAGTCATTTTTTGACTCTCCCATACAGTTAAATATTGTTTGGATCCGAACAATAAAATTATTATTGAGAACAGGCTGATAAGAAGTGCACGACTGAAGTACTAATTAAGCGTATTTCCGTATTGGTCGCAAGTGAGTGTCTGGCTCAATCGCAATCTAGGGCGCACATATCATCTCAAAATGGTTTTACAAAAATAATTAACCATCGTGGTCCGTCGAAAATCTGACATAAACGATTTATATAATAATTTATAGGTATTGATAGGTGTTATCATCCCGTTATTGTTTTATAATGCACAGAAATCAAAAATATCAATACCGAGAGCGCGCGTCCACATTATCTTTTATTAAACTTCCCCACATAATACTATACACGAAAGCGTACTTGTCACGATAGAAATAATTATTTCAATCGATGTAGACACCAGGTGATCCATTTAAGTGGACTCATTATCTCGGAAAGTATTGAAACTTTTTTCGGAATTTGTTTCCCAGAACATTTAAGAATCAAGCAGCTCTACAATTCTAAATTTTGTTATTTTTGGGAGTCAAAACCACTATCTACTTTTGATTTTCAAATGACAACCTATATTAAAAAGTCCATAAATAGATGGAGCATTAGTTAAAATTTATATATATATATATATAAATGTTGACATTTTTGATTTCTGTCAAGCGAGATATTCCACTTTAAAAGTTCGGGTTGGAGAAAAATAGTGGATAATCATTTATGTGGCGGTCACTTAGCGGAATGCTAATAAGTTAAAGTTTTCTAACCTTATCTTCTAAGACCATGACAAATCAACTTTATTTATCAGTTTATTACCTATATTTTGTCATGGTCTAGATCACGGTTATTTTGATAACCATAATTGGGAGTTGGGAGTGTGCCACTTTTAGCACACACACAACTGACAATTCACTGTGTGTGCAGAAGATACAGGCAAAACGGGAATATTTGTGGCCAACAACTTAATATTTTGTTATTTTTTCTGTTTTCCCATGGTAAAGGTGGGGTTAATATTAATAAGTTGTAGCTATATCGGCTCTTTAACAATGTGCAGCGGCTCCTTACCTAACGACCCACCAACAACGGACAATGTGTTCTCAAAACGCGTTAAATTTGTATTCGTATTGTACAAACAATATAATGAAATACAAAATCCTCGTCCACATATTTTGGTAAACAAAGCCTTAGTTTATTCATAAATGGGTTGAATAAGTTCTGAAAATTATTAAGTTAAATTAATAAATGATGGTTGCGACAGACTGAATATACAAAGATAAACAAGTTACATAATACAAGAAAAAAACTCCATAACATAGTTTGTGCGTTAATTTATTCATAACATATAGCTTTGAATACTTAAAACTAATCATTTTATGTAAAATTATGTTCACTGTGATTTTGTAGATTTTAATTATATTCTATAATTTATAATACTAAAGATATTGAACCGAAATTAAGGTTGGTATTAACAATAAAAATTACCATACAAATATATTATATCTAAAATTATAGTGATTTTTTTATTTTTTCTTATTTTAACTGTACAAAAGTTATATTTTATAATTTTTATTATTAATTTTTTCAGCAACTTCCTTCTGCTTTGATGGCGACATGAGCTTTTTAATCGCTATCCAGTCTTCATGTATTTCATGCTCTTTAAGCATGTAGTTTATACGAGGCCGAGGTGTAACTTTTGGTATAAGATCAGGCTCTATATAACCATAAGGATATCCATAACGGTCACCTCTGCTATGTATTAGATTACGGCCCAGCCAGAGTGTAGCTTCTAGATCTATTTCATTAAGTGCTGCTTTTAGTTGGTCTATATTTTCATCATAATCTGTTATCATCATATCATATAACATTTCTGCTTGATTCTGAAATACAAAAATTTAATTTAAAATAACTGTATTCTGTCTTATGAAAGAACAGATTGCATTTTGATGAAAACAGGTCAGTCATGTGCTTCTACACATGGATACATGTGAACTAATGACAACACATGAGGACCAACTAGTGAGTGAACACAAACCTGTTTATATGTAATGTGCCAATTGTTGATACCTATTGACACCTTTTACCTACCTAATACCTAATAAATTGCCTCAAATGGATTACTTGGCAAACATTACAATATTAATAAATGTCTTAAGGTATGGTTTCCCTGCTGCGTCCAAATGTTTTATCTGAAGCGGCAGACACTATAGATTTTATTATTTTACCCCACTCTTTTAGTTTAATTTTACAAAATTTTCACTGCAACCAGTGTGTGTCCTTTTTGCACATAGTTTTCACATACAAATTTAGATTTTTAAATTTTTCAAAATGAATCAAAATTTAATTTTAACGGTATTCAATACATACTTGATCTTCCTACTTCGTTAAATATATTTTTCAAATATCAATTAATTTTAAATATATAATGTCCTTAGGAAAATTATCTTTTTGTATTTTATGGAATCTATCCAAAAAAAAAAAACTGTGTTACTTTCTACGAATGCAATCAAAGCTTCATCCTCTGATGAGGAAACAAAAATGTATGATTTGTTAATATGCTGACTTTGGGCGTCTGGACATAACATTAGTCTGGACCGATATTCACATCAATCACACGCATGGAAACCAGTCATACACAAAATACATAATTTAGTGTCTCGGCAACTGGATACTGCAGGGAAACTGTACCTTTATATTTTCTTTTACTCATTATTTGAGCAAGAAACACATGGACATCATCTATAGTCAATTACATATAGAGAGGATTCGATGGTTCAGCAATGGTGTGGATCTCATTCGGCATGCGCGATCTGACACTGTTTTTCATGAAGCAAACTTTAATTTAAGTTAATATAATTTGAAAATAATTTCAGAAAAATTAACCCTGAAGGTAAATATGCAGGGATTATTAACAGCAATTTCAACAAATAAAATAAGTAGTACCTATTTTAAATGATTGGTTATTATTTATTAATGACCGATCATTTGTAATAATTTATTAGAAATATTTTTAGAAATTTTTTATTTAAAATTTTAATTACTTTATATATTTCCTTTATTGATTGCTTTTCAGAATTAAATTTATGTTCCAAATTCTTCAATTTAAATTTTCTCAATTCAATAGTTACTGCAAGTCGCTTTTCCAATTTCAATTTAACTAACTTATCTTCCAATTCTTTTATTTGATCTTTATAGAATCTTATTAATAAACAAAGTTCACATATAATAATAATAATAATAAGAATTCAATTTTAAATATTGTAAAGGAATTTAAGATACTTACATGTTTTTAAAGAACTCAAATTTAATTTCAATTTCTTGCAGATTTAATTTGCACTTTTTCTGCTTTTTTGCATACATTTTCAGGTCTGAGCCTTAAAAATAAAAAAAATAAATGTATAGGTGTAATTCAAACTTAAAAAGTTTAATTTAGTCTAAATTTACAATAACTATCATCCGAGTCATAATCTGAAGTATTACTAGTGGATGGAAAAAATGCAGACATTTCAGATTTTTTTTTCTTTTTTGTTGGGAGCTCCATATCGTTTTTTAATACCTGCAGTACACTTTAGATATTTTCTAGTTTATGTTTCCTGGGCTTATCAGCTGTATTTTCAAGTTGAATATCAATATTTTTTTAACTATCGTTTCTGAAAAAAAATATTTGTATTTAACAATTATGTTTTTTTATATTTAAAATAAAGTACTCACTATGCTTAGAATCTAAAATATATTAACACTATTATACTTGTAATAATTTCTTTTTCATGTCTTTAAAGAAGTCTGGTAAAAAAGATGGAAAAATTAATATTTATTTTTAATCAAAAGAATTTGGAAGCATTTTGTAAGTTAAGTAGATTTCAATAGATTTTTTTTAAATTTATCAATTTTATTAATTTTATTGATAGTTTAATTATTTTCAATGAATAGAAGAATAAATAAATTATATTTGATTTTGTTTAAAACAAACTTTAAGAAATATAGGATTTCTTTTTTTTACTGTTTTTATAATCTTTAAATAATATTTTCCATCTTTTGAACATTTTTGTCTAAATAGTATTTTAATTTGATTTTTGTTCATATCCATCGATATTGTTTTGAACCAACTTTGCATTTGCCAGATGCATAGGCCTAGCTTTTACAAGCTAATGAAATATCTATTCTTCTAATAAATTCCAACTAACTACTAAGTATAGGGTACATGGTGTATCCAAATTGATATACATACAAATAGTTTTTTTATACGACTACCTATTGGGTTCTTATTAGAGGATACATACCTAAACATAATATTATATTCAAAAATATTGTAAGTAGGTACCTTAAATCCGTAATGTTATTAACGATCTAGTAGTGCAGTTAAATAAATGCTGTACGAAGTTTCTTTGCATTTAAAAAATAGTTTAAAGTATAATTTACTATTTGTACAAGGCTGTGATAGTCACAAATCTACTTACACAAATTAATTAGAAAGTTTGTTGACACCGAGGGGCTTCCATGCACGCTCAATGTTACCAGCCCGTGTATCGAAAGAGGAATGCATTAAAACAGGTAAAATATGAGCCTGCGGCGAACTAACCTGGTTTCTAATTAGAAACAATGAAGAGATTGTCCAGCACTCTGGAAATCGTTTCGAACGCACTCCAGCGTAATTAATTAGTAGTTACTATATACCAACCGTGGCAACGAATTACAAACCAGTGGTTTCCCTTCTCCAGTTGTTTTTGTCCACCATCTGTTTAGTCTACCACAACTTTCGTATTTAATGTCTATACGTCAATAGTCCGAAAATGTAACCCGCGTTTTCAATCTTGTGTAGTTTTATTCATCTGAAAATTACGAATATAATTGTTCATATTTGTTCTCATTATTGTTCGTATTGTACAAATTGCTGTTTAACGTTTATCATTATACGTGTAGGTAAAGCATTGGAAATTGTAATGTATTATGTATGGGAACACTGTAATTATAATATTCATGTTTTAGAGATGTTATTATCATTTAAAAGATTAGATTAGTTGGATACTTGGGTCCGCAGTACGTACGAAGGTGTAATTTTTTATACATTATGAAAAACTCAGTGATGTTTTATTGTCATGTGCATTATTTTATTAAATATTTTCTTATACGTTTCTATCAATTTGATGACGCGAGAAAACATTAAAGAAAATATTTTTAAAAAAGATCTACATACTTCGCACGATGTGCAGATCACTGTTGTATGTGATAAGTTGGGAAGGTAGGATATAGTAGGGAACTTAATGTACATTTGTACCCAAAAATTAATATTAGCCAATGAAAAACTATTCTGAACGGATTTCGATTAAACATGTTTTAAAAGGTCATAAAATTTAATACTAAAAATCCTATGAAAAAAAAATTTCATTGAAATTAAATTTTTCTTGTTGATAACCCATATTATACATTTCTGTTTGATCTAACAATATTATCAACAAAATACCTACTGAATAAATATTACCTACAAAACAAGCCAAATTAAAATGTCTATAAATAGCTTAAAAATGGCTTAAATGTTTTGAAAATTTTACCACATCTATAAAAGACATCATAATTTCATATTCGTTATATTTATATATGTATATTTGTGAAATTAAATTAAGTAAATATATTATTATTATTAATTAATAATAAAGTACCAAACAGTATATTTTGATTGTAGTGAGAAAATTTGTTTAAAAAAATGAAAATTAATGTATTTACAACTTATGTAACTTGTAAATAAATTATTTGCAATTCCTCGAAAACCACATCTTTCCAGTTTTATTAACAGTATTTTATGGCCAACGGAATCAAAAGCTTTTTTTTTTTATATCAAGAAAAACTCTAAAAGCAAAATTACAACTTACCAGAGTTTGTAAAAATATTGATTTACTTTTGTAATATTTAAAGCCAAACTGGTTTTCAGAAAAAACAAGTGATTTATCAAGAAACTCATAAGGGTGATTTTATACACTTTTCTAGAACTTTTGATAATGTATAAGTTAATAATATTGGACAATAATTTGACAACTATTTTTTTTTCTCCTTGTTTAAATTCAATTGAGGAACAATTAAGGTGTGCTTAAAGATAATTAAAAAATTTCTTGAAGAAAGTGATGGATTAAAAAGATGCATTAAACTCTAAAAGAACCAGTATAAAGTTTATTTTTCGTTTTAAAATTAGTCAATGCACAAGTATAAAAAGACGTTTGCTGTTAAGAATATTACTTTTTATTTTTTTCCCCAGTTATATAATTTAAAAAGATTTAATTTGGATTAAATTTAATATTAAATTTGCAAATTAACAGTGTTATTTATTTTGATATTCCTCACAATACTTTAACATACTGAGGCATAAAAACTTATTAAATATGTTGGTGATATCAATACTATCAGAAACTATTTTATTTTTTTAGTATACATTGATTAATTTATTAAAGTCCAATATTTTTTAGAATCACCTTTTTGCCTTGGTAATATTTTCTGAGAAGTACAAAACTTTAGCACATCTTATTTTATTATTTTTATTAATAAATGTCTATATTTAATATATCTTAGTTTAAGATTAGAACTGAAAGGTTGCTTTTTTAATTTGTTAAAAAGGTTATCCTTACATCTAATTGAGGCTCCTATGTCAAAAGTAATCCAACTTTTAATTTTGAATTTAAATTTGGGAAACCACAAAAATATTGTAACTTTACAACTACTTATACATACTTATCACATTATCTGAAGCCAACAAATTAACCCATTTTTCTTGTTCAACAATATTTTTAAGTTTGTAAAATAAAACATTTTCAATTACCTTCTTTTCTGTATTATCGATAATAATGTTTTTTGTAGTTTCACCAACTTTATTTAAAGACATAATTGTACTGAAATTATCAGTTATATTGCTTTGACATACATTTTTCATATCTATGTATAGTTAAGTCTGGTATATTTATTGGCGTACTTATCTTAATTCTATTGCATTCATTTACTATACGGTGTATCAGTCTTCAAGTGTAGTCAGTTTCATTCTGTAAACTTTAGTTTTTAAATGACCCCATAGAAAAGTAATGGAGTCAAATCTGGACCAATAAATTGGCCCCTTAGTTGATATTAATATTTCATGTTTCAACAATTTTTGAGCTGTGACGTGTGATCTATTAATTAATTTTACAGAAATTTTAAGTACCTGTTGCCATCCAATATGCTATAGTAACTGTATAGTCCAATTCTTATTGTCTTTCAGGATGCTACACCATACAATGACACCCCAATGTATTTGGTGATGCACTTCAGTGGCCCAATTTGGACATGGATCTACTGAGTAATGATAATTTTGAAGATTGTTCATACTATTATTATTAAACCTGTTTTGATTGGTCCGCGTAATTTTGTAATTTAAAAAATGATCACGAAATATTGTAATAACTAGATCCAAAACATTACAAAAAAAGCTTTCTGTTATTTTTTGATTGGACCAAGTTTTCTAATAAAAGAAAAATGTTCCAGATAAAAAAAAGCTGATACTGGGAACGGATGTACCACTGTTGTAGGTGAAAAGTTGGGAAGAGGTAGCATACATAAAGTTATTTCATTTACATCTGTATGCAGTGATGAACTATTACTAATAATTTCAGAGCGAAGTTCAGTAGGTACCTGAGACATATTTTGAAATGACATAATTTTTACAATTTTTGTCGAAACGCTTATAAAACAAAATTAATGCATTAAACTTTAATTTGTTTTTCAGACCTTCAAGTTCAACTGAATCAATGATTGCATACATTTTCATAAGTCACAAATTTTAAGTCTTCTTTTCAAACTTTTAAGTCAATAATAAGCGTATATAATAATTATTTTACATCAACATTATATATAATCAATATATGATGTTTCAGTAAGTATTTAATCTTAAGTAAAATTTATTTTCAAAATTATTTATATAGTTTTTATCAAATATCAAGTTTTAAAATATTGACTTTTGGCATTTCTGCAATCATAGATTCACTTATTATGTACCTTGTATTAAATTTTCAAAAATTATGTTCACATAAATTGAAAAATAATACGCAAAATGTAGTGATCTTTATAATTTTCATCAAATTTTAATGTTTTAATGCTTTTAAAAAATAACTAATATATAAAACTCTTTTTATCTTTTATAACCACTAAGTAAAACTTATAATTATGTGATTAGAGTTCATATTATTACTGTGTTATTGACTTGTATTGATCATATACTTTATCATATATTTCTAAAAAAAAAAAAATTGTTCGATAATAATATGGGGTAGATTCTGTTTATTTACAGAATATTTACTATGTTTCAGACTGTACAAAATGTGGAAACACTTTTATTTGTGATCCATTCATACAAATCAAAATAGAACAGATCAGTGAGGATGAAGATGAGAAAAATTAACAATTTATAGAGTATGGCAGATACCTAAGAGATACTTTAGTGTTTCCCTATTCACATCAGAGGGTTTATCCAATATGCATTTTCCGAAATTATTTTGAATGCTTTCCAAGATTATTATGGATGAATTAATTCTTAGTTTACTCTTGTAATTTGTACATGAAATAAACAATTTAATACTTTTAAATTTTGATAGTAATTTTGGTTTTTGTTATTTTTCGGTTCAAATTTATTATAGAGACCTGTAGTTTTCACAAAATACTTATATTGGACTTCTTTAGGCACAGTAGTATTTTCAAAACTCTTGAAATTTTTTTAGGCTATTTGATATTTTCATGTTTTCATATGTACTTTTATTTGGTAGGTATTTTTTTTTTTATTAAAATTATATAATTTAAGAGAAATATTTGAACATTTAGCACAAGGTACATTATTATTATCACTCTTAATGTAAAATAATTTATGATTGAATAAAAAAAAAAATGTTCTTAAATATTAACATTTAGGTATAGGGGTTTTAATAATTCTAAAACCTATAATTTATAACTGGTGGAAATATAGAATATGTTTTTGAAAAAATACCTACCAATAAAATTAACTATTATTAAAAATAAAGTAAAATCTTATGAAATTTAAGCCTGTAAATAATAATAAAGTGATTAAAAAAATGTTAAATAATATAAAACTATTAGTTTGTTTTAAATCTTACAAAAATGAGCTATTAACTGTCCTTTAATTTAAACATTGTTTACATATTTCTACAATGGAATACTGTATACATAGGTCTGGTCAGGTGTATTTTGTATTTTTGTATTTAATTTAAACTAGTATTTTTTAAAACTTAATTACCATACATTAATAGTAAGCAATTAAAATTTTATTTTCAGAGCCTAGTGAATGATCTATTGATTTTACTATGATGTGTATTTTATTTTTTTGTAACTGTAAACCATTTTTCTATCGGAAACATTGCTCCAATTGAAAAATAACACAAAATCGATTTTGTTCCTAATTATATTTAACCACTGAATAAGAAAGTCATTTTTGAATATCTCAAGCAGTTTTCATAATAATTATGAAACACCAAAAAACGTGAAAAATTTGTTTTTTTTTTTTTTTTTTTTAATGATGGCCCAACGACTTCATTATTTAAAATTGTTAAGATAAAATTTTTTTTACCAGAAATCTTTGTTCAAATTTCAAAAATAGTACATTTTATTAAAAATTGTATCTAATTGTATAGTACGAATGTCGTTGTTTGATTTTCCGTAATTTTCCAATTAATTACGAAAAACTGGAAAAAAATGTATAAAACACAGAAAAGTATAAGGCAATTACGGTTTTTGTTGTTTTACGGTTCAAAATTATTTTAGAGATCTGTAGATTTCAGAGATACCTATGTTGTCCTTAATTAGGTGCAGTAAGATTTTCAAATTATTTTAACTATTTTTAGGCTATTTGTAGGTATTGATACTTTCGTGTTTTTATATGTATTTTTATTTGGTAGGTAATTTTTATTAAAATTATAAAACTTAAGAGAAATGCTTGAAAACTTTTATGAAAACCCTAATAATTATGACATTTAAAAATATGTCCTACCGAATTTCGCTCCAAATCGTTAGCAATAGTTATGTTGCATTCAGATATACATTAAATTTCCCCTCTCTACATTGTAATATCTTCAGAGATAATAAAGATAATCAAATTTTGTTTTTTTTTTTTTATATTAGTTACAGAAATTACTGCCTACAAATATTGTATACTGAAATTAATTTCTTATGCTTTAAAAATAACTATTTATTTTATTATATTTAAAAAATGTATATTGTATATTTTATTTTTCTGAAAATGTTAAGAGAAAATTACCTATAATTATACAGCAGGCTGTAATCGCATTCTCTAACTGATTATTATTATTATTATTATTATTAATCTAGACTGTATACTTCTTTTCTCTGAACTTTAGAAAATTATTAAAAATTACAAATTCAATTAAAATAAAAATTTGATAGTCAAAATTTTCAGAAGAATAAACTATAAAAAGAATATCTTCACGTTTTTTAAAAATAGTAAAAATAGTTTTACTATATCTTCGAGGGACTCCTATATAGGCTATAATTATATTAAATAGCTAAGTGGATACTTAGCCAGTAAGTAACTAACTATAAATTTAAAAATTCTGCTTTCGGTTTACATATTTCTTTTACTTTTGATTCAACTTAATATAGTATTAGAATGGGTTTGTATACTTACCTTGAAAAAAATTATTTTGTTTGTTGTTGAATGTGCAATCAATACGTAGGTGAAAAAAATTCAACTTTTTTTTTGTTTTGGATATTTAGCCAGTAATAATTTTAACTCGGCAAATCTTTTGAGTTTTGGGTCACATTTTTTCTGGTCAACTTTGTTTTTTCAGTTGGATTAATTTTATTAATATTATAATAAACGAATATTATATAATTTTACGAATATACGATTTACGAATTAAAGTTTAACCAAACTAAAATAATATGAATAATGAATAAGTAAGTACGTTAAACTCGCATATTGACAATTGACAGACGACAGTTTATGGTTGTAAATGTACAATATATAAATGGAATACCAATTGGAAACTGAAAGACGAAAACGATAACATTGTCTATAATAATGGCAGTAAATTAAATATTAAATTTTTTTTTTTTTAAACGTAATTAATATTACAATGACACGTTAGCTATGATGTAGAGGCCGCCGTTATTCAATATTCAGTATTATTTTATTAAATTTATCATACTCTATAAATAGTTTACAGTATTGATAATTATTACACCCGGAGTCGTTTATTGTTTACAATACTGTGATATTAAGACTTGTAAATTGGTTAGGGTAACACGATCCATGATATGCCATAGCATTTTATAACGGGTTGCTACAATTGCTACGAAAGTCTACATTGAACACATTACTCCGTGTTTAAACTCTTCCGAATACAATTATTATTACGAATGCATATCGAAAATTAAGTTTCAAATTTGAATAACTTAATAAAAACTGCTAACGAAAGGCAATTACAATGAATTGGTTGACGTCACTTCGTTAACGTACCTACCTTAGATCATAATATACCATTCCTATTGATAATATTTTCATCTATAATCACGAATTAAGATACATCTTTAAAATAATAATTATTAATTACCTCTATTAAGATAGGTATATCTTAATCCGTGTCACTAATATTGGTAGTCCACCTTTGTATATTGTTTAATAGGTTTTTTATATTTATCTTTTTACTTATTCTTTATAATAACCATGATATTGTTTGATTTTGATGATTGTTTTGTAAAATTATAACGCGTAATAAAATGTATAAAACTTAAATAAATAAGATCAAAGTTTACCCCTACCAAAAAACAAAAAGGGTATTATGATAAAATAGTCTTATAATATTTTGCGAGATGCATACTATAATACAAAATACAAAATACAATATAATTGAGTACTGCGGAAAAAATATTTAAACAAAGTTCTTCCAGTGACTTAAGTACCATATTTTAAATTGCCTTGATTTGATTGAAATGCTTACATATTGAAAGTATTTAAACGTTAAAAAAGTTTAGTTGCTTATAACTTCTATATTAGTGATTGGATTTCTAATCACAAGTGTAGTGTAAATTGTGGTCGATTAGTTTTATAGTTACTGAAATAAGTTAAAATAAAAGCATTTAGTTCAATATTATCAAATTTGTTTTAAAGTACCTAAGTACCAATCTAGGAAAACAAAATAGCCCAGGAAAAAATTTAAGTGACAATAACAATTCTTTTCTTGATTTTATAGTTCATAATAATAAATTGTGTCAAATATACAACAGATTATAGGTATCAATATAAAGGTAACAAAACGCTAAGGTTTAATTTTGGTAAACTATTTCAGAGTAGTTGTTAAGTGACCCAATGTAATATTGTAGTTACCTACATATTTGCATTCGGAGCAATGTTGCCGTGTTGAATGAAATTTTTAAAATGGAATAGTATACAATATACAGGGTGATTCACTAAGCATGCTCACCCCAATTTTTTTGGTTAAATTTTACATAAATTTAAATTCTGATTTTTGGAATTTCTAAGTGTAGTTATAGCCGATATTTTCAAATACTTAGATTTTTCACAACATTTAAGGAGTATCATGTGACGACACCACCTTTGGTTTGTCAATTATGAATTTATATATTTTAATGTAAATTATAAATCAGATAATTTTTCTGAAAATGTTGACGTATCTATTGTAATCGAAATTTGAACAAAAAGTTTTTGAGTTATTCTAGTATTCTACTTTAAAATACGATAAGAGGTATAGTCTACAGAGAGGTTTGAATACCTACAGTTTCATTGGAACGATAAAAATCCCTCTTGTCTCACCCTCACATCTCAGATAGTCAGACCACTGAAGATAGAAGTTTAACTACGTCTACTAAAAAAGGCCAATAAAAAGTATTTTGTGAAAAGTACAGATTTCTACAATAATTTTAAACTGAAAACTACAAGTCCTAAATGCCTTACACTTTGCCAATTAACAGGTACAAAAAAAAATACACAGCATAGTGAAAACCAATAGATCCCTGGCATGCTCTGAATCTAAAATTTTAATTATATTTAGTTTTATTAAGTTTTAAAAAATGTTAATTTGCACTTGTTTCAAAGATGCTTATTAAACATACAAAATACACTAGACCAATTTTATGTGCAGTATCCCTTTGTAAAAATAACTAAAAATAATTTAAATTTAAAGACAAATAATGTTTGTAAAATTTAATATACTTTTTAATATATTTTATAGTATATACCATTTTTATGATTACTTTATTGATGTTTTTAGCTATTGCAATTACTATAAATAGGAAGTGTAGGAGATTTAGTAAACAAAATTACAATTAAAATGTGAAAGTATTTAATTGTTTATTTCATATACAAATTACAAGAGTAATTTAAGACTAAAGAATCATGCAAATCTTCTAATATATAAATTTAATTTCAATATAATTAAGTATTAATATTTAAACTTCTCTAGTTGTGAGAAGTAGAAACTCATCTGAATGAAAGTATGACAGAATACCTATTATATTCTTGTCTATGTGTATGAGAGAAAAGTGTATCTCTGTAATTATTATAATATAAAATACAATAAATTATTTATAATATTGTGGAATTTATAACATAAATACTATGGAATTAAAACTTTAATAAATTGTAAGTAGCTTTATAGTATTCAATAAAATTAGGATTGGAAAAAATAGCTAGAGCAGAAAGATTTAGATTGTACATTAATTATTACTTATATTATCATTATGTACGGGTATGATTAAATTAAATGATAATAGACTTAATTAAATAGAGTTAATACAATGCAATGAATTTATTCATAAAATCCATCGTGAGCTTTAGAAATAACTTTGGCAAACTCAAATAAAACCGTTTCTCTTGTTGTTGCAGAGAAGGCCTTTAATTTACCTTCAATAAACTTCCCATAATCATAACATTTTTGTATAATTCTTGCGTTCTCAATATCCTCAGCTCTTTCACTTATTGGTTCCTGCTTAATATTTATATTTGGATCGAAAGTGGGGCGGGTATCTTCAAAAGACCTCTCAGGGGTTTCTTCAGTCAATGGTTCCTGCTTGATACTTATATTTGGATCAAAAGTGGGGCGGGTGTCTTCAAGAGACTTCTCAGAGAATTCCTCATTCATCGGTTCCTGCTTAATACTTAGAACTGGATTGAAAGTAACCATTCGGATGCCATCAAAATAATTCCAACAAAATTTGTTACCCTGCACAGTCTGGAACATAGTAAATATTCTATAAATAAACATATTATCATTTTAACTCCATAAACATTATCTTTAAAAACTCTTATTTTGAGTAAGTCTGACAAAGTACATTTTCTTCAGATCATTGTAGAAGTGGATGATAAAGATTATTTTTATTTTTGTAATCCAAGAAAAATGTATAGTACAATTTCAGAAAATCAATAGAATATGGTTTAGTGGTATGTAATTCCTACCAAACATTGATGAAAAAAATTAACAAATTGAGATAAATTTTCTTAAAATTATTACATAGAAGAAGATTTTGATGTTACATTCAAAGGGTTCAATCTCACAAACATAGTAATACAAAATCTATTCTGTGGATTTATAAAATGTAACCATAGATTTTTCAACTGTCCTGAAGTTTTAAAATTGATAACTTTTAGTGTCCACTAATCCCAAAAAACCAATGTTCTATCATCCTTTCTATTGCTTCATCTTTGGAATTTAGGCACAAATTAAAATCTATTATACCTTTTTATTACTATAATAAAAATATGAAACTTATCATTAAAATTTTTTTACAACACAAATGATAATACCTCTTTAATGTCCCCAGAGAAATTTTGTATTATTTCTTCTTCCAACTGCTCATGTTCAACAAATTCTTCAATACCATCGTTATTTATATCACCTTCATTGTCACTTTCTGGTTCTTTTTTGATCTTTATAGTTTGCTCAAAAGTGGTTTGAGTTTTTTCACGAACATCCATAGAAGGATTATATAATTCCAAGGTCTGAAACAGTAAATATTCTAGAAATATAAATATTATCCTTTTAATCTTTTAAACAATAGTTTTTATACAGTCAAAATTTTATAATAAAATTCCTTTATAAGAAAAAAAATTACTACAGTAAACTACTTTTTTTTTTCTAAGACCACTAAGTACGACTTTTAATGAACCTCCTGTTAAATTTTCAAGTATTTATATTTAATTTAAATATTTTATGCAGAGTATCTATCAAAGAAAAATTACATATGTAAAATACAATAAACTACATAGTAAACACATATTGTGTTGGATTTCATTTTACTCAGTTACCTACCCAATGTGGTTTTACAAAAAAGATTTTCATAACTTGGGTTTGAACTTACCATCTTTAGGATGACAACAGATATCTACGACCACACACAATTATGACAGACATGTTATAAAATTTAGAATATTGAATTTTTTAACATAACATATAATATCAGAACTTCAAAAAGCTATAGTTTCGAAACTAATTTAGTGCGCTTAATTCTGACTCCTCCATCATAACTATATTGGAAATATACATCAGTTGAAACAAAAAAAAAAAAAAAACAAGAAAAATTGATAAATTTGCATGGATCGGCAACTAGATTTGTTCCATATATTTTTTTGCTAATTTTTGTCCAAATTTCATAAAATAGTAAAAAAATACTGCATAACTTTTTTTTTTACACTAAGTATGACTTGTATTGAATCTCCTATTACATTTTAAACAATTTCTGTTTGGCCTAACATTTTCATCCACAAAGTACCTACCAAAAAAAAAAAAAACTACTTAAAAAACTAAATGTAAAATTCTTATAAATAGCTTAAAAATATTATCAGAACGTTTGAATAATTTGTCAACATTTAAAAAAGGTATGTATAAGTTTTCGGAATTTGTGTCATATATTTTCATAAATATTGACCGCGTTGAATGTTATCTATGTTACGCGGGATAAATGTGAGTCGGACATTGACGGTGTGCTCTTATATGTCATAGGTATAATATGTATATGGTACCGACCAAACCCAATTTCAGGATAAACTAGTTTATCCTTTAAACCAGATGTGTTGAACCTTTAAAACACCAATATAAATACATATATATGTATGTATAAGTATATAAATTGTATGGTCTAACCGATACAGTACATTAAATATACTCCATTCGGGGGTTTTTTTTTCGCAAAATGTTGTTACAATAATAATAAGATTAAGTCATTTTCAGAGGTCAAAACAAAAAATACTGAAAGGAATGGTGTGGATTGCAGTAGATAAGTTTTTTCTGTAGATAGCATATGACTTGAGTTCAAAGTTTTCTGTTAAAATGTTAATTCTATAAATATTTTAAAATGAAAAACAACAAAAATACAAAATTAAAAATAATTAAACCAATTTATCAATAAACTTTCTCGTTCTTTATTTTCTTTTCTTGATTTAGTTGATAATTAAAAATTACGTCTGAATAAAAACTCTAAATTTAAATGATTTTAAGAACACATTTTTCTGAATTTTAATGCCATTAATAGTTGTTAAAATAACCATTTAACATATCACCTTCAGAATAGTTTATTCATACCTATTAATGAATTACCATTTATCCCAGTGCCTATATAAACTAATTCAAACGAATCCACCAACAACTATGTTCTACTCTTCCCTGATTAATGATATGAAGTATGTCTGCCTTTTATTATATGCAATGAATAGCTCATGCAATAAACAAAATGTATTAAACAACTAATACTAACTTTATTTTGTGTAACCCTCATTGGTACAAACACACTTTCTTGATCCTGGTGGATGATCGGGGTTGGGAGTACTAATCTACGAATATTAGTACTTTTATGAATGATCATTTGACTTTGATTAAAAGTAGAATTTGAACTGGAAGTATTAAACTATTGATAAAAAAATAAACATTTAAAAAAAAAAAAATTGTTACCTCAAAGTGTGTTGTGCCATTTTACTAAAATGTTTAGTGGCCCTATGCATCATTCGAAACTTGGACTTTTGGTTTTGTTTAATGTTTCGTACTTTAGGATGTTTCTTGGAAGTCTGGGAAAATCTCACACGCTTCAACGACATTTTTGATTGAAATGTGTTATTTTGAGTTGAATAACTGCAACAAAATTATATTTAAAACAGATATCACAATCAATACTAATTTTTTTAACTACTTGATTTGTTCCATTGTAAGATAACGCTTATAAAGTAATAGCGACGGCGAAATAAATTTTAAAAAAAGTGTTTGAAAATTATTTTTCGTAAACTTTTAATTTTTAAAATGTATGTAACAAGACTCTGTGGGTAAGTCTGTAGTAGAGAGTATAGAGAGCAGAAAATTGTTAATGTATACCGTAAGAGGAAAACAGTACAACTGAAACGTTGCCCAGACGCTCCCGGTGGTCACAACTAACAGAAACAGTTGTGTAAAGGGCACTGTTCCAGTGGGCGGAGATAACAAAATCCGAATCAGTTACACCAAATTAGAAACCAAAATTTTCGACAAGCTATACGACCGTGATAATTCAGAGTCTCCGCAAACTCCTTTAGTTAAACTTCCGATTTGTGTTATCAATAGATACTTATCAATACTTTCTACTTTTGACCGCTAGTTACGAATAAAGTATAGACTTTGTTTCCCAATAACCCCGTACACGCGTAGCCGTCTGACCGCGGTGATTCTGCATTTCTGTTTTTATCTTTACCATTGACACGCCACTTTACTGTACCTAATATACACTAATAAAATGTATCATATATAAACTGTACAAGTACCTACAAAAAAGAAATAGACAAAAAATCTGAGAGTTACAGACGTTCAAACGCGCCATATTTTGCTGCACTCAGTCGGACGATTTCAATCGAAAATAACCCTCGATATGTTGTATAAAACCATGTCGGGTAGAAGTGAAAAGCGTGTAGGTAAAATTAGAGAACCAATGTGGTCACACGATCGCCGCGCTCGCTCGTCATTAGCACGTCACGTTTGAACGCGAATGAAACTCTAAAACTAAGCCGGGCAGACTCATTGTGACACCGGTAGAAAAAAAAAAAAAACTTTGTCATCTAAATACCACAAGCGCATCCCTCGCACCCCTTCCCCCCTCCCCACCGAGATTACGCCCGTGAATACGATCGCGAATCTGGATGCCTTTCGTGAACACATTTTCCCGTCGGCGGCGGGTCAGACGCGTCGCGCGATAAGAGCCGGGGGGGGACGTATTATGGGTGTAGCCGCCCGCCAAATTATATCATTGTTAACATCGATAACATGCACTGTTATCGTCGGTGCGTTGTCGGGCAAACGGAGAAAATAGCCAAACTGTCGGTTGGTAGCATTGCTGTTGGCTGCCCGCCGCGAAAGAGACGGCAAACGGCCTCGGGGCGGCCACGCCCGTCCCGCTCGCGCTCCCCGCCGCGTACACGTCAAGTAGGTTATAATGGGAGGACAACGCGCGGCCGGTCATGTACGGACGCACCGAAAACATCGGCGGCGCGCGCGCGACTACAATATTTTCTGACGACGCACGCGCACACGCGCGCGGGCGCGTAGCACCGCGATAATGGCGGTGTAATAATTCTCGGTTGTTCGGCGGACCCGAATTCGATAATTTCGTTGTGCTGGCGATTGTTAATAACGCGCGCGGCACATGATCATTGAACACTCGTATTATGTTGAAACACGAGCATTTGCAACACTAACATTTGACTGTTATTGTTGAACAAGAGATACTAAAATGAGATTTTTGCGGAATAAAACAATCATGAAATCACGCCCGCTTAAAAACGTAGAACAATATTTTTTTCGCGTCTTTGCGTCGCATTTGTGTATGCATTTTTATTCGTTTCGGTCCGATCGTACTCGATGAGGATTTCGATCGGACAATAATATGACGGTCACACCGATCCCCGTGCGTACACCTCCGACGTCCGTACGATAGTGTATTATGCCGTTTCTTCGATTTAATTTTCAGACAGAATATTGTCTTGCGGCACCTAGGTCCGCTGTATTGTAAAACATCAAAACGCCTATTTTCGCCCATCACAATTCCTCGTCATAAAATATCACGCCTATAGAGAAACGCCGTTTTCCCGTAAATGCCCGGGCACAGCACTCTCTCCTACACCGCTGAAATCGAAGCGGGTGTTCCTCGGCTTGCTGTAAACTGCTCCTATGTGCTATTTGATTTACCTGTACGTATCTGATCAACCCACAAGCCTCAAACACCCATATATACCAGGTGAATTACCTCCCCCCCCCCTCATCCAGGTGAATGAAGCGTCGTTAGTGTAGAAATCTCAAAACAATCTAAACATTATTACTTTTATTACTGGTCTTCGAGAAGTGAGATACTGCCTCACCCTCGTCGTCCGAGCTCGCCGCGTCTACCTTATTAGGTTTCTTTTTCTAATTAATTCGCTTATCGCGTATAATGTATTAATAATATGTGAACACGGATTGTGAAAATTAAAACTACATTTAATACAACAAATTGTTTAAAGACGGAGATTATAATAACCGTTACCATAGTCGGCGCGTAAAACCGATACGATAAAGTATAAAACACGCAGTATTACATGTACGTTTTCTACGGCGAAAAAGTAGGTATTTACATTTTTCCGCCGATTCATTAATTCAAGTCATGTTAAAACATTTGATGTGTAATTGCGAAGGTGTCGTTTATACGATGTTGAGGTTTTATGAAATCGCAATTTTATTTTATCTATAGGCTCGACTAAATAGTACGCACGGGCAGTAAACACTCAAATATCAATACGGAATTGACAATGTCAATGCAACATTTTCGGTAACACAGTACGTACAAAAGTTACATGAATATTGAATAATCATTCATTTCGTAGAGAAGGAAAAAATATATATTCACATTAGGTACGCGGAACGCCGAACGAAAGTCTGAGGATATATTTTTTTTAACATTATAATGGCTAATGTGATAATTTATGCAATATTTTTTAATCTGTATTGTATGTATGCCATGTGCGTTTTGGTGTGTAATACTCGCGTATAACAAACGGATTTTGTCCCGGGAATTTTTATGTAGAATACACCGCCGGTGGACACATAATATTAGGGAGCCGGAAAAAATGTCCGATATTATTTTTTTTTTTAAGTCTTAATTTATAAATAACGAAGGATATGAAAAATTGTTAAATAATTTGTTTACGAATATAGATGAAATGTATGTATTGTGAACGTTCAAGAAATGTGAGTGGCTGATGATGAAATATCAGCGGAATAATTTTCAATCGATATTAGCTATTGTATTCGTATTAAACGACACGAGTATTAACAAATTATTAGTTTTAAATTGTATTACAATTCTCGTATCATTCGTTTTTAAAATTATATTCATTCAATTATTATTCACATTATTATATTAAAATTGATATATATTGTTTGTTATTCGTCGTTATTGGTATTATTAAAAAATTATGAATGTTGTATTAAAATCGGACCGTTTATTTTTTTCTCAAGGACTTTCTTTCCGGGACCCATAATAATATTTAATCGTGTTTTAGGCGTTTTATACGTCTACGCGCATAATATCACGCGACCTGACCGTTGACCTTTTTTTTTATTACACGGACGACGAGTCGGTTTCTTGTAACCCCGCCCATTAATATACGTGTGTTTGGACGCGCGTTTACAACATCGCGGTGAACGCTAACGACGGGGAACCGCGTGCGTCGTGCATGCCAAGGGGTGCCCAACGTGAATGTGTTCGCGAGCCGCGTGATATAAACGCAACGAGACGGCCAAAATGTTCGTAAAAAACATTTTTTATAATTTCCTACGATTTGATCCGGCCTGTGCTATTGTCACACAACAGTGATGTAAATATGGCCAACGGCCGATAAACATGTTCTATTGAATTACGTATCGGTTCAATATTGTTGTCGATATCAACTTTTGGAACGACACATTCGCGTGGACCGCTTCATTCAACGATGAAATATCGTTCGAATTCGGCCGACGATCGTCTCGCAGAATCACTGAGTGAACTGCTCTTGCATCGATACGCAATTGGAGCTTAAGAAGCTTACTAAAAATAGTAGAAACGAAACAAATACCACGCAAACAAATTTATAGCCTAACCTTTTTTTTTTTTTTTTCTGTATTTATTATTCATATTAATTTATTGCCGGCATTTAAGTGGGTACACTACTGATTAATCTCGGAAAGCATTGAAATTTTTCGGAATTTATTATCTATATAGAACATTTAGGGAACGAGCAGTTTTATAATTTTATATTTATGTTATTTTTGGGGGTAAAACCACTTTCTGCTTTTGATTTTCAGATGGCGACCTATATTAAAAATTACATAAATAGACGGAGTATTAGTTAAAAGAAATTTGAGTGTTGAAACTTTTGATTTCTGTCGAGCCGTTGACGAGATATTCCACTTTAAATTGTTGGTCGGAGGAGAGTGGTGGCGCCGTACCGCCGCACGAGTGATATTCTACTATTCTCCTGCGACCCGTACTTGAAAGTGGAATATGTCGTCAACGGACCGACGGAAATCGAAAAATGTATTTTAATTTCATTCAACTCCATTTGTTTATGGACTTTTTAATTAAATACAGGTCGCCGTCTGAAAAACCATAGCAGTTGGTGGTTTTATCGCCGAAAAAAAGGGCGACGCATAACGGCTTAAACGTAAAATTGTAGAGCAGCTCGTTTCTTAAATTGTCTGAGAATCGAATTCCGAAAAGCGGTTTCTCCGTGATAAACAGCGCGCCCGGCTCGAACCGACCGCCCGGTATACCTTTATACGTTTATTCGTCTTTCAATCCGTATTCTACAGCCCGTTTGATATCTGTGTAATAAAAAATATACCAGATTTTTTTTTTTTTGTTTTCCCCTCTACAAATGTATTACGTGGAAAAAATCAAAATTCACAATATTATAATAGGCAAGCGTGTGTCGGTTCTCCGCCGTAAGTTGGACAACCTGTTACGGCGTACACGTTGCGGTCGCCCGAAGGTCGACGACAAGAGGCGGCGAACGACTTGCGGGGGGTAGGGGGGGAGGGACACGCGTTCACCGCGCAACAAATACTGTTCTTTGTCCGTCGCGCCGTACGCCAGACGGAGAAAATACAAATACCGTGCGACGAAGGCGGTCGATAAATTCCGGAGCCGTAGCGCGCTCCGTATGGGTCTCCGGTCGTTGACGGGGCGCGCGGTCGACGTGATGCGCGCGCGCACGGTATCGACGAAACGTCGTCGTTGGTGCGTAGCGACGTCACGGATTCGTGTCTATACAGGGTGGTTGGTTTTTTTTTTTTATTTTTACCATTAACTCATACAGAGCGGTTGGTTAGATTTATTTTCATCATAAACTCGGCGAATTTGATTTGTTCTGCTTTGTGTTAAAACCGTTTTTAATCCTTTACCCCCCCACACCGTACACGCACCTTAAATACGCGGACGATTTCTCGATTTCTCGGATTTGAATAGAGAATATTTTTCCAGACATTTTGACACGCACAACATATTAATATCGGTGCGCTAGATAGGCAATTTATTACCATACG